TAAGTGCTTGCACCATCGCGTGCTGTCATGATTCAGCATGTCATAGTTCGGTTACTGTATTCAAGTTTAGAAAGGAACTATTTCCACTCGAAAATCCTAGAAACATCAAAAGCGAAGAGTTGTAAATATATACTCTCTCCTGTTGAAGCACGAAAGAGTTTCATTGGGGTGCAGAATATTGTTGTCGAACCTGATCTCGGATAACCACATCCATGTGTATTTAGGCAATCACATCCTAATTTTGTTATCACTCCGCTACCCCAAATCACTTGTTTGTATGCTCTTATTATTCCTTCAGTTTTGCGATAGCATCCGTCCATGTGACTATCTAACCCGCTTGTTAATGGTTCAGGCAGCAAATCGCCACCACTGCTGTATTGCTGATCTTTCTACTCGTTTTCGGATTGTTTGTCACGTGTTCATACCATACATGCATGCAATTGGATGTCACCTACGAAAGTATAAACTCCAGCCGACCTTTCAATTCCGTTACCGACAGCTGGCGGAAGCATAGATGCAAATTAGTGCTATCAGACCTTTCTAACTTTTCCGTGTGAAGTTGTGATTCAAGTCCCGACAGAAACGTAAGCATTTCTCAGACCTGATGGGTTCCAACACCCGAAATGCTTTCTATTACGACATTTTTGTTATTGCAGGTGTCTACTCAGTTGGTTTGATCACTATTTTTCCGGTCAACTGTTAGGCATCAAGTTTTGTTCCTCTTGATGGGCCTGTGTACGCCTTGTGAGTAGCGTTTGGTGATTGGAGCTGTTTAAGGATTTGAGTCAAAAAACCCGTTTTTATTGGACGAAACCGAATAATTAGTCTCGCACTTTTTAATTGAGTTTAACGGTTCGAGGCTTAGCATTATGCTGACTTTTCACGCTGATTATTTGTCAAACAACTCATCTAACAGCTATCTTTGCGGCAAAGAGATCAAATCGTGATTTGTTTGTGGGCTTGTAACAACTCCCAGCTTACCCAAATCAAAACACTTAATTTCCTCAGACATTCGCAATCGGTCAATCTGCTATCCATAGTTGGTTGAAGGTTGATTGATTACAATTGGTGTCTCTTGGCTAAATGTCATTTACAATTTACTTTACCTGTAGTTTGTCACTTATTTAATCCCATCGCTAATGTAATCTTGACTTCCTGAATGAACAACAAACGGAACCTAAGCGTTCACTAATCGGCCCACATGTGGCTTTCCACGTGAAGTTTTAGCGTTCTCGTTACTGGTTCCCGCCAACTACAAAACAGGTGCTCGTTGTCCAAGAGACTAAGTCTTTCTATCAGTGTGATCAGAAAATCACGTATACAAACTCACACAGTTATTTTCACTAAGACAAATGGAGTTCTTTTTCGGACAGGATAAATCCGCATAGCGTTCTTCTTGCTACCAAACGTTTGTGATACAAATACATGTAATTGATGGTTTAGAAAGAAATATTCACGCGAAAACAAAATTCTAGCTGATTCCTTCTCACTTCTACGTTGACTAAATCATGTTCTAATCAAGTTACTCGAGTAATTTGAAAGAGATGATACTTTCCTCTTATCTCCCAAACTGAAAAATGATGGTATCCAATCTACAGGAAGATTGGGCTTGAAATTAGATGCTTGCTCATGAATAATTTGTCCCAATGCTATCCGTTCATATTCAACACGATTCGTATTTTTTCTCGGCTTTTCCTGCCCCCCAAAAACAGATATCTTAGTAAGCGTTTTCAACGTATACAATTATTACTTGTGAACACAGTAACCATCTCTGTTCGTTTTCCCAGGAACAATTGTCTCATTGAAATTCGGCATTCATTGTTTTCATTCGTCTAAACTAAACAATGATTGCAAACATTGAGTGTGATATAGCTGGGTATCGTGTGTCTATTCGCTTGCTAAACTCATCTTTCTCCTACTCTAATTTTTTCGTTCTATTTTACGTTTCTATCGACCCGCAAAACGACTAAGCAAAAAATTCCAAGCATAAGAATAACAGGAAAGTGTTGGGTTAATGGTCGTACAGTTGGAAAAGTGAACTCCGTTTCGGCCTGTTTTCGTTAATCGCGTTTCGGTCACGGCTTGTTAATTACTTCATGCACTGATACCGTCGTTGTACCTGAGCATTCCGATTCAGATCACTTTAGGCTTACGTGAATTTAACTGCTCCATGGCTATTGTCTGACCTTACGTTAGAGGAGATCCTCTTGAATATGAGGTTCACACATTCAATCGTACTTCATCGTGAACCTGTTAAGTGATATTTATGCAACATTGTTACCTCACGAAGTCAGTTAATTGTTCCGGAAAAATGACAATCGGTAGTTAGATTCACTTGATCGTGCTTGGTTATATATACCTTATTCGGTCCGTGTTAGGCGACTGGTCTTTTTTCTGCACCACGAGTAAAACGCTTAGTCTTTATGATTTGTACCCGCGTAACTGTGTGTCGGCTAATTATATCTCCCCTTTGATGATCTCGTCAGAATGAGTGAGTGCGTCATTTTGTCGGCAGTTCGAGGGAGAGAGAGCTCGTCGGGCCCACTTTCTTCATACATTTTGCTTTGAATCCCTACGGTCAATAACAGGTAAATTGTTTTCACATTGAGCGGGTGAATTCAGATGAAGCTGATGGAAACGACTGATGATTACACGCTACTAGACTGTACTTTGTTCCATTGATAACATATTGCTCCCTAAATATTCCATTTGATTTTCTGATATCACCCGTCAACGGATGATTCGTGGCATTAGTAGCTCTAAATCTAGAACACCAAATATATCGCCATCTATCTTTAAACTTCCGCTCATTTTATGCGTAACAAAAGCACAATTGTCATTCATTGAGAGGGCCACGACCAATCGAAGGATTTCACTACAAAAGTGGAATGTCAGTCACAGTGGCGAGGTTCGGCCGCATAGGGTTGATGGCCTACAAACCACTCGACTACCGTCGTCTAGATCAACATACTTTGATATTTATTCTTCGGAAGAACCATAGAAAGAGCCTAATCGACAGCGGGATAATGATTGCACATATTTTGGTTCTCATTGTTTGTATGTATATATGTATGTATGTGTGTATGTATGTATGTATGTGTGTATGTATGTATGTATGTGCGTATATGTCTGTGTGCATATCTTCTAGACAAGGTTCTTCATTGGGGGCCGTTTTTCATACCAACGAAGAACTGTGCATGCAGCGGTTAGGTCAATGTGCTTGGCTATTGGTACCCTTGCTTATTCATGAATGAACTGAATTTAAATTCAAATTCTCGCGAAATCTTAACACTTCATCCGTTTGTTCGCGACCTTATTCTTTCAATTCTTTACATCCTCTCGCTTATCATCATTTTACATTTGAGTGTGTGCGTACACATGCTAGTCATCTCTCAAGTGTGCCTTATCAAGGTCTCGTCAACAGGTAGGCACCGAATGATTCGATGTGTGCACTTTCTTCCAAAGGATACCCATTTGCATACATGTACATCCATTTTTCAAATGGGTCACCATTCCTCGACCTCGATATTTGTAAACTTGTATCCGGTACGAAAGTTACGCGGTGGTATTCAGGTTGCTTCATTTCCGATTGAGCAACGTGTAAGATGGAAGTTGTCGGTGGATCGCATTTTCGATGTACATACAAACAGGCAGATTCATTCCGGAGAGAATCAGTTTATCCGTTTTGCCGGTCCATTGGTCCCATTTGAAACAGTGATTCGTGGCTAGCGAGTTCCATTTATTAGATCCACTTGAATCGCCTGTTTATAATCATCAAAGCGTTATCCATCAGTAACGCCAGCTGGCCTCCTGTGCCGCAATCCCTAGCAAAATACGAAGAAAGATGTCGATGGCAAATATAGTGGAAGTGTTGGATATCTCATAGTTTGGTACATGAAAAGATCGATCACTGTAATATTTCTTTCCCTTGAAATTGTTCTTACTCATCGTAATCGGTTTTATCGATTAGTATATGGTTTGCCGAAACAAGGCTACCGTTCCACACAGCTGAAGAGTTAACCCTTATGTCTTCCGCCTATCTTACTGTTTGTCACACTGAGGCATGAAAACTGATAATGATGATGACAATCAATCAGTCGTAATTAGAGTTAATTTCTTTTTGATTTTTTGTGTCCATACTACTACTGCTTCCATGTAGCACAAGGATTCGAGTAAATGCACCAGAACATTGATGTGTGCGCAATGGGATATCCTCTAACCGAATGGTTTCAGGAGACAAACAATACTTCTGAACCAAAAATTTCCCTCTCGTTTGCGTAGATGGCTGCTAGGTGACAATGGCGTTATGCCGTTTAACAATTGGGTGCACAGAAATCCCGTTAGCAGTTTCTGACTACAGATCAAGAACAAATGATTGACTATGCCGATAAGCGAGTGAGTAGGCCGATGAGCGGAAAGTGAGAGTTGATCACGTGATTCTGGTGTCAGTCTTATGCTATCTATGAGGTATTGATTCGGTCATTCATTGTGTCGTGTGTGTCTGTGGTACGGCCGAACGCGATTATTCAGAAATGAAATTAGGTAGTAAAAGCATACTAGTTGAATCTTAAAAACTGGTAGCGTTGTATGAACCGAAACTGTGTTGTTCAAAATTTCGTCCCATAATACATCTATTACGATCGTCTGATTTGCAAAATTATCATGAAAATTAAACTTTGCTACTCAGAGGAAAGAAATATCCCAATCATAGTTGTGTAATTCGCCACCAATCTTTTGCTGTGGTAGCACTGTTTTTGTAAGATTGAACGAATGTACTGAAATACACACACACACACTTGATCAGTTTTGTTCGTCTTTGCTTTCATGCAGTTAACAGTGATGCTTTTCACGGTGCATTCAGTCACCACAACTGGGCAATACCTTTCGTAAAAACATTCGCAATTAGTCTATCATGGTATGTGCACGTGCGTCATTCGTACGAATAGTGTCAGACCTTCACCAGATGTTTCTTCGTTTTCTTCCCTATTTTCGACAGAAAAATGTTTATCGGGGGATTAAGCCCAACCACAACATCAGGTGAGTTGATGCATTTTTCGTCGGTTATCTGTTTCTTGGCGTATTTACCTGCGTGCGTATGCGTTTTGCAGTTGCGCTGTCTGGCTTAGTTATCAAATGAATGGTTTTTTTATAATACACTAATTAATCTCGTTGATAGCGTCAATATGGTGTTCGAGGTGGAATAAATTCAATAGCAAAATGACAACGGGGTCAATAAGGTGATGGACTTTGGTTGGGTTAACCGAACCACGTGAAGTGGTAACACGATTGCAAAATTTGGATGAGAAGTGATCGCTGATGGGTTGACGTTACATCCGATTATCAGATGACTTGAAATCACGATGGCGTACATATTTCTTCGCATAGTTTTATTCATCATCTTACGGAAGGGACAAGGCTGAGCAGGTTGTTCACTACTTTGGCTGAAAGTTGCTGTTCTTCATCGTTAAGAGGATGTTCCTCAGGTGGCACATACTTTCGGCAAATTAGACGTTACTTGCCGTCCGTCTGGTTATAGTCCTTCAGTGTCTCAGAGAAATTTACCACTCTGATACTGCTAATTATAAGTATTTTATAAAGAGAGCCTAGATTATTTACTTTTCTGGCTATCGGTAGTCGTTTGGTGTATCCTTGACATTATGATGGAAGTCAGGGATAGAGCACTTCGTTGGAAGCCCCCTAATACCGCTCCCAACCGAATAGAATATTCGTTTAGGGTCTTCAAGTCTCACGGTTCATGTTGGCGGTTCCTGTAACTGCATAGCAGCTCGTCGCGACCGTCTAGACCCACTCTGTTCGCTGGTCATCGCACTTAGGTGTTTATGACATCAACTAACCATGAACACTTAGGGAGCCTTTTAAGTTCCGGGGATTCCTTGCATGAATTCCGATTCTATGTGCGATGAAGTTCATGTAACTCAACTAGTTTGGATCATTCCCCACTGATTCTAGCACATTAATAATGGGCTGTGCTTTCGTGCACGAATGCATTCTTATAATGAGTTGCATGATCACTAGGACTNGAAAACATCAGCAGAAAACAAACCAGCCGTTTTACGTAACCCACTTTGATGGATCACATTGCGTTCACGTTTGTCTCTCCATCCATCCGTCTCTCACCGATGTCTTCATATTGATTGGTGGAAGTCGAATAGGGGAGAAAATGCACTGGCACAGGCGTGGACACACAAATTTGCTCTACCATAACTGTGCGTTGAAACACACACGCGCACACGTATGTACACAAACCTGTCTACTGTATGTGTAAAAAGTCATTTCCCATGGGTATCCGTTTCCCTCTCGAGAACCTTCTGTTGCGTTCTCTCTCCTTACGAAGTCGTTATCGCTTGGCGCAAGCAAACACACATTCTACTTGTGCTTGCTGTTCCGTACAGACAACTGCCTTCACTTTGCCTGAACATGAAAAAGGCAACGGATGAATGCATTACTTTCAAATGACCACACAAACACACAGATCTGTTCAAAATTTTAGGCGTTTACTTAGATCATTTCGTTTGTTCATCTGTGCCAGGTCACGTTTCTTATTTTGTCACATGATCTGTATTCCCTTCTGCGTTGCACACACATATGCGTGTTCTCCACTGAATTTGCCTTTCTCACGTCCTCCCACTCACACAACCTCATTCACTCCGTTTTCACTCCACCCTTCCCTTTTCATAGAGGGACTTCGCGATTATTTTCAAAAATATGGAGAGATTAAAGAGTTTATGATCATGCGTGATCCTATGACAAAGCGCTCCAGGTGAGCTTTCATCGAACGCTTTTTTTTGTTTGTGTACGCGTGCATGCGTGTTTGTCCTTGTCCAAGTAGTAACTTTCGGCCCCGCCCATCCCAAGAACACATACATCGTGCTCCTAAAAAAAATCTGGTTTGCAAGTAAAAATAGAGTGATTGACCGACTCCGTCCTCGTGTCCTCATCTCTCGAAACGCATCAGTCGATAATTCGTGCGTAAAAGCATGCCGGGGCCGGGGCCACATTGGCCAATCTGAATTAGACCAATTCGTTGGTCACGTGATATTACTTTTTCGTCGTTTCGTGGACTTTTATCTAAATCACTAGAAGTTTTGTTTTCGCGTCAATTCCTGGCAAGATTCTATAATGTTTAAAGATTACTTTACCGAAAACCGCAAAGAAATGAAAACGGTATTTTGTATTTGTGTGGTTGTGTACAGTGCATGATAGAAGTTAGCGGATTTGGTGTCCGTGCAATCTGTCTAAATTTTATCCAGATTTTTCCTTCTGTAATTACGTCCCGGAGAACACCAGACGGACCTGCAGTAACCATGTGGTTGGGACACAACTATTTTGCCATTATTTTGTTCATGTACATACATGTTTGCTTGAACGCTGGCACATCTTTTGCAAGGGCAGAAAAGTCGGTAGTTGGACATTATGGAATTCGTCCATGAAGGTTAGATAATTTGGTTCATGCAACTCGTAAGGACGGATGTGGACAACAGCCGATCATTCATGAACCGATAAAAAATACCATTCTGATTGGATTATAAGCTGACATTTATACCTCGCCGTATTCAATTACGTACGCAAAAAGAATCACAAGTAGCCAAAATCACTCTAGGATTGAAAATTATGCTCCGTATTCAATGTCTCGGTCATATTCTTTGTACTTTGTTGACAATGATAAATGTGCATCCTAGTCGGCAACTTTCAAGTACAATGAAAAACGGAGTGATCCAGTAAACAAAGCCTAATCGGTATTCATTTAGTATATATACACACACTCTATCCCCACCCAACGTCATCACTACCACCGCCTCTCCCACACACAAATCACTAATGTTTGCATCAGAAGGCGAAGAATTTATTTCTTTTCTGGAAATCTGTTTCTGTTTTGACATACATTTCGTATATTGCATACAGACACACACAGTGATGTATTAGCAAAGAACAACACGCCATTGACCTCAAATCATCATCACTAACTCATTCATCGTTCTCATTCCAGGGGTTTTGGCTTTGTCACATTCAGTAATCCTCTCTGTGTGGAGAAAGTCCTAGAGGCCGCACCTCACATCCTTGATTCCAAAAAGGTGAGTGCGCATTGCGCGATTCATGCCAACGATCTGCTTCTATACAGCTATGAATTGGGATCTTTCTCTTACACCACACAATGACTATCAAATTCAGCAATAACTTATTCACTTTTGACAAAAGGACGCTGGCGTTTATAAAGCGATTAAGCATTTAATGCACTTGTCCTTTTTATTCAGCTGTTTACCTCAGATTCCTTTTCGCCATCCGGTTGATCACCTTGACTACATCCAAGGAGGAGTTCTCCGATTTATTCCTTTAATATCATGAGTATTACATGGTCATGGATTCCTGAAAATCTCAAGTTTTTTGCGCCTTTCGTTCGAGTTATTTGTTAGTTGGTAGGAAAACCTTGACAAATGGATATAATCACGTTGGGTCCTTAGGGTTAATCCTATCTGTATTCCAAGGAGATGAATGAAGTGGTTCCCTTGAGGCACACATCCTTTTCCTTACATAACCATGCACATGTTGGTGATTTCAGCACATCCAAATATATCGGATGGTGGCGTCAGACACTTGATGGCCAAGGCTGTAGCAAATCTGATACGCAGCTCAGTTGTTACTTAAGTCAATACCATTCCTCTTTATTACTCACACCAAGCTCACTTGCATGGTAACAAGTGGTTGGCGCTGGATCATCGTCCCGAGCGCAACATCCGTTTCTTCGTACCGTAAGTTTAAACCTATGAACCTTGACACTATTCTGCTTCCTAGTGCAGGGGGATTTGGGAGCTATCGCCGTGGTCACTTCGGTTGAGATCCTTCCGTGTCCGCGTAATGACCGATCGGATCCTTTTGGTTGGATACCAGCACTGTGCTTTTTGTTCTCATCGAACATTCTGCACACATTAAACTCATCTCCGTATCGCTACCTGCGTGTGTGCTTTCTTTGTTTCCTTTGTTCGACTTCTATGTCGCACTATCACCACTCTTGCAGTGGACACGGTCAAAAGGTCGTTCTGTGTGCTGTTGGTTCTGTCCGGAATGGAACTGCCTTCGTTGTTGTTGTCCTTCTCTCGACTCGATTGTACTTTTATTCGAACATCAGTCGAACATTGTTTCGACCTTTGGACCCTGAGTCCAGCATACATACTTCCCTTCAAGGTGGAAACACGGTAATGCATGCTTCAATGCTAGACCGCCAACAGATGTATTTGGGGATTATAACTTCCTAGTTGATCCTCTGCTAACTCACCATCAAAGCAGTTGGTGCGTGTGCCACAAAGTACATTGATCTTTGCTTATCATCTATTTTGCTGTGCTCTCTTTCAACGAGAGAAAAAGGCTTAGCAAGCAATTACACTACCCGTCCATTTGCTATTGCTTTCCTTTCGCTTTTAACCCTTTCTCCTGCAGATCGATCCCAAGCTGGCCGTTCCTCGAAAATCCGGACAAAATACCAAGGTTAGTTTGAGACTTCGTGTTTTCCAGTCCGATAACTTTCGAGAGTGTGAGAGAGACAGATTATTGCTTCTATACCCTTAAACTGTAATAAAAGATCTCCTTAAATGAATAACTTCGACCTTCCATAATGAGCGAACCTCAAACATTGTTATTCACGAGCGTAATCTGGAATGTCCAGCGGCATCAAATTAGATCAGTTAAGCCGCGGTTATCGACTGTCTAATTACTCCTACTTTCCTTGCTTTCTCCAACTCAATGAAAACAACAACTTTATTCATATGGTAACAACGTTCTGGTATCCACTTAGTTAACTCTTACGTCTTTCAGCCGGTTAGTAATGCTCCGGGGGCGGCGCTATAAATTCGATGCAACTGTGCTAGTTTGTCTACCTTGTATTTGTTTGGCCGTTATACGTGCTTGCTTACACTTCAGTCAGAAACAATCTCTCGAGATTATCATGCTGAATAGACACAAGTGCCACAAAGTGAAGGAAAATGGTAGAAAAATGTTGTACAACACGTGGAAGGTAGATTAATCCCGAAAGATTCATTTGCAGTTCGGTCTTCTTGGACTGAACTGAATAGGAAACGTGCAGAGTTCTAATAAATTTCAATGCGAATGGTGATATGCCGATATTATTCCGTATTTAAGGGGTAGGATAATACGTGGGTGTTGTCCAGAAGTTTTCTGTGAGCGTAATATTAAATATATCTATCACTAAGCTTACAGGACAGTTTCTCAAATGGAATTAGAGAAACACGAAAAATGATAAGAAAGCCTCGACGTAGAACTCCGAATTATTTTTTCAGAGTCCGGGGACAGGTGCAGACAAACCAAAAAGAAAACAGGCAAGGTTGATTGATTAAAGGGTATTATATTTTCTAGGCTTATGGATAAGAAACGGAAATCACTTTAGGTGACTAATACATAACTAAATGTGCAAAGTCCACTGGTTGTTAGTGTTAATAGTGATTCCAAAGTACTGGTTGAGAGTCAGCCCTAGAAATAGAGCTACTAATGCTGGTATTTTCCCTGGGAAATGACATTCTTGCAACACTCTTATACTCTTAACATTTAACTGGATTCAACGTAAGTTCAGGATGAGAAGAAAAGGCCTAGTATTTGACACGTTCTCAGGAAATCCTTTCAGACCTGCATTTTATTCAGACAAAAAAATGCTATGACGCGCAGACTTTAAAACTAGAGGAGAAATACTCAAAAGCTCACTAATGTAGACAGAATATATATGGTTGAAGAACTGCACCTTGGAGCACTCCAGAGTTGTCGATAAGTGAGCTGAAATCATTTCATTTCGCCTGTTCGCTGAGCTTGACAATCTTTTGCAAACAGGCGAAATGAAATTCAGTTCACCTAAGCTACAGGAACCGATTTTGACCACTTTGATCTGGAATAAATCTGGCCCATCCTAATGAACTGTATAGAGCGTGGCATAAATGATTACCCAAATTTGGAATAACCGCATCTACCAACTGATTGCTAGCCATTACTCCGTTAGTGAGATAGTTTGACTATCAACTAAGCAATTGTTTCTAACAGTTAATTTTTTCGAATTTTTGGCGCAGCTGTGAGCAAGGTATCGGGTCAAAAACGAACTACTGAGGGAGGATGGCACATCTGAGTTGCGTCTGTTTCGTCGGTTTGCCAGTCGGCAGAGGTTATATGGAGCTGCAATTCGTGATCGTAATCTTGTGAGGACAGCCTCCAGCGCTGAGAACTTAGGGTCATTGGGTGCAAAAATTTTGTGATGACTAACTACTTAGTGACCCTTGAAATGGGAACAATAGTGACAAGCCTCCGGAATTTCACCGCCACACGCTTAGTAGGTTAGATTTAAATTAAAGATTTCCATATCATCGGTGGCACTTCATTCTTATGCGAACCTTTTTCCCATTCTGATTTGAAGTGGAGGATTTAGGATTATCCTCTCCTTTTGGTGCAAAACTCATTATGCAGGACAGCAAGAAGTAATTTGTTCAGCATCACTTACGTTAATAAGTCCTGAGCCGACCGGTGCTTTGCCATTCCGATCGGTGTAACCGGAGTATCAATAAATAAATTTTAGTTTTTGCCAGGTTCATTCTCTTTAGTGCTTTCCTTTAGTTTTGTTCCTATCTCCTTCAACAGTTGCTTGTGTACACACGCACGCGCGCACACACCAATGCGTAAACTTTCTCGGTTTGTATACAAGAACGAAAGATCTTTCGGTGGATCGATTGATCTGGCGCACTCATTGATGTCAGTGTTTACCGGCCGGTTCGCGCCCTTATCACCCGTCCCCAATCCTGTTTCTTCTGTTGTCTATCGATCAATCGGTTGACCCGTTTAGGTTCTCTGCGTGTGTGCGTGTGTTTACGAATGGTAGGATGCAATCTGTACACTAGTTGCATTAATTTAATCGTCCGTTTACGATGCGTTTAATATTAAACCCTTAGAAAGATGGGTGGTTTTTCAATCGGTTTCACCCAGTCGATTGATATCCACCCAGATATATGTACTGGTCCACCGATAGATCAATATGTACGCCGCGCAGTTTGCTTCAATCAAAGGTCTAGAGTCAATAATTGTTCATTTTGTTGGTATACTGACTCGATAGTTTCGATAACTTTCAAGTTTTCGAAGTTGTCATTGTCACCGGGTAGTAATGTGTCTACCCCATCGATGCATATACCCACACAGAAGCAGCCCATGCCTGATACAGTGAATCCAGAATGAACTAAAATGCACACAGGATCGTGCTCTCATCCTTCTGAAATTTGATTCTGTGCTAATAATCACAAAACCTCGGTAAAATTCTCTTTTCATGCAGTAAACCAAGCCCCGAACTTGTAGCGTTACATCAAATAATGGTAACTATTTAACGGATTCTGTGTTTGTGTTTAATAACAAATATGGGTTTTATTTAAATTGACAGTAGTGCGTTACCGTTGGGACCGCTGATAGCTGACTAGCATGAAGTCCTCGTTGCACCAGGGATTGATAAACACCGTTTGTATTCGTCCATCTGCACCTTGATGTGATGTGACAATGCCTATGGTCCAAATAACTACCTTGTGGGTTTTTTACACCGAGGATTCAATTACACCGTGACTTCCAAATTGGAGCTGCAGTTCGGTAGGCGCATCAAGCAACCAAAGTGATGGTGAAATAACACCCCAATAACTAGACTCACCCTGATCCTTGCGATAAGTTTTCAGTTCGAACTAGGGAGTTTCTGACAGTGGTTACACTAGTTCACGATAACCACCATTAATCTCCATTGAGCATGCAAATCTGAAAGAATTACATAAAACTAATGCCGAACGCTATGATCCTGATGATGGTGCCGGGCATCTTCGATGTCGTTTAAGTGCGGTACTGTCTTTATCCTATCAGAACCTTAGATCGTTTTTTACCTGGCTTAGACCACCAAATTTCGTCAATGCACATTAACTCTTTTTTCTTAAGAGGCCTCGCCGCTCTAGCCTTCATTGTATAAATCTGACTAATGAGAAAAATCAACTAATGTAGATGGATACGCGTTTTGTTGCAATACTGAAATGGGATGTTCAACCCTCATTTTATTTTCAGTATGCATCGTTGATGGGTGAAACATCAGAATAAGAGACGAAAAAAATACATTCTCCTTAAATGTGGATAGAATCTGACCTTTTTGGTTTCTTTTCAATCGCCATTCTGCCCCATATTCACTCATCATTGTCGGCGTGATTCTACTCAGAGTGTTAGTCAGCGTGTAATCGTGTATCGTTGACCTGGAATTGGCCACTTCTACTTAGTCCACGAGGTGCTGTCGGCTTGACCCACCAAGTCGGTACAGTACTTCCGTTTCACTCGGCCTCCCCCTTTCTCTGCCTGTTTGTTTTTAGTTGCTCCTCTTTGATCTAAATGTGTGTGTATCTATAGTGCCACCCCACCCACTCTATTCTGATTCTATTCTGTCTCCTCTCCGCCAAACCAGAGTCTGTTCTTCACTCGACGACTGACTGGTTCGAATATGTCGTCGACCGATACCGGAAACTTTTAAGCTCTTCCGGCACCGGAAGTTTGGGTCATACTGTTGTTGTTATTATTACTCCAGTGCTGACCATACTTTGGAACGCTTTATGGACATCTTGACTTTTTCGCACACATGAGACCGCTGTGCATAGAGTTTGTGTATGTTGATGTCGGTTTGGTAACGACCTATCAGCAATCGAGAGCCTTGAATCGCGGGTGAGAACCTGGGTCAGGGGCTTGCATTTACCAGTACGTTGACGAACAGTTTCCGGAGCAAACGATCAGGTTGATTCTATGCTGAGAAAACTTAGCTCGACCTGACGTGTCAGAGGGTACGCCCGATTTCCGGGCACATAATTCTATTATGTTCAGAATACTTACTGGTAGCTTATTGTAGTAATAACTTTTTATTATCAGGGTGTTTCACTCGGTGCTTTACTCCCAAGGGATATCTAATAAATTCAAATTACTTGGCTTTGTTGAATGTATCCGGTTGACAATCGTTCACTGAAATATGCTAACCACTATTTTTCATCATTTTCTTTCTAACAATTATTTGTTTTGATCCATGATATTAGTTACGTTATTTCTTATTCAAACTTAAAGCTCCATTTTCTACTTTTCCCCGTATAATTTCTTATTATGCAGCTGGCCACGCGGACGAAAAGAGTTTTCATCGGAGGTGTTGCCACTCAAACCACCAATGACGAACTGAGTGAATACTTTAGCCAGTTCGGAAAAGTGAGTCCATATCCGATTGATCATTAAGCCATTTTTGTGTACACACTTGTTCGTCTTATCCCCTAATTTCACTGTGGTGCACTGTTTAGACTTAATCTCTTTCACTGAGGAGCCGTTGTTCCCTTGGCAAGATAATTTTTTTTCAGATAAAGCAAACCATTGTGCTCGCGAAACTGTCCACTCCAAACTCAGTACTCATTCCCTCGTGCATTGGGATCAGTTACCTATGTATACTTTACTTCTTGAGCAGCGTGCATACCTTAACATTGTTTACACGACATATTTCTTTTGCCATTATATAGTACCAATTCCTGCTTCTGAATGTGTTTTTTGACGGGCTCACTTTATGCAACCTTTGGTATCAATTCGTTTCCTTTTCTTCCTGATCGAAGTATAGTTCACTAAGTAGTTGTAGCATGATATATTCTCTTGTTTAATTGGGGTGCAACTGATGGTTGCACAACGTTTACTTTTAAAACTGGAAATAAAGGGATCCCGGTGCTTTGTGTGTAGCCAAATCGTGTCTTTGGGAAAGCCTCTGTCCCACTTCGCATATAAACCACTCTTGTGGCATGATTTCTTTCCGTCACTCCCTTGCTCGTGTGCTTAAATCTTTACCTAGCAGTTTACTAGTTTTGACACACGTCTATTGTTGCTGGGCTCGTCTTGTGTGTGTGTGTTTGTGTGTGCGCGCGCGCACGTCCGTGCGTTAGTGTGTGTGATAATTGAATGACCGTCCGATTACAGTTGACTTCGTCCGGATGGTAGCAGTGGTGATTGGTTCTGGCAACCATCACACCTCACATTAAGTGGTTTAATCAATCATCATCATCTTTTGGTATAGTGAATTTTAAACAAGCAGATGTGCTCTCTGTTTCTAAGCCCCTGGCTATGACAGCCCTTGTCACAGGTACATAACCGGGCGCTTGCATGTGCCCGTGTTTCTACTTTGTTTCACTGCTGATAGCGTGTGTTGAAATGAGGCCATGGATGATGGTTGATGATGTGCTTCACTAACGCTCGGTTCGCCATTTGATGAATGTCCACAACTGTGTCACCTCATCAGAGACCTCATCATTTTTCGTTCTGAATACTCGTTCGGGTTCTGCTGACCGCTTCGACGATGACTGGATGACTTTGTGTATGATAATTACCACCCTGATTGCATCCGCTGTTGTCTGAAATCGGGAGGCACACTAACTAAACTGAGGTGTTACCTGATTGTTGGTTTGCAATGATGGTACTAAGGTGAGTTCCTGGTGCTTTCTGTAATCCTTTGAGAAGAATGTGAGCATGTATTTACTTGATCATCATTGTGAATGTCTGTTTTTTTCAAAAAAGCAGTTCACTTTGTTAGTTCACTCTTTCCTCCTCTCAGTCCGTTAAGGACTTGGGATCGTCAGTTTGTCAGAAAGGAAAAAATACTTTATTGCTGAACTAAAACTGGGGCCAGCATGTCTGACAAAGAAGTCCATCAGTAACCGGAGTCTCTGACTGATACATCTTTCGATTAAAACTCGCATGAATAATTGTTATGTTTTACTACGTTTCTTGATCATCAAGTTTCCGCTGAATTCGAGAATATTCTCACTGGAATCCAGAAATAAAGAGGCGATTACTAGGGTTGCCGATTCGAAGGGGATTCGAACTGTTTGGGTTGGATGAGGAAAACATGCTTTTGCGCTGCTACTTTTTGGGCTGCTTGAACTCCGTCGTTCTCTGTTGTTCCCCACATTTATATTATTGAGAAAAAAGAAACTGTTATCAAAAGACCAATAATTGGGATACAACCCCAATATGATGTGGATNTTTACGGATCACATGAATTCGACACGTGTATTGTCCCATTCTGTGGCAGTTATTGCCGCACCATCTGCTACGACCATTTACCCCAATACGCTGACAATATCCTCATCTTATTTACCTTAGTAGACCCTTTCGTTCGACTGAGATCAAACACTAATCGACGATACAGATGAGATGTTCAATCAGTAGCGATTTTGGCTTCATCATGTAGTGATCACTATGACAATTAGTAGTTCAATGAAGTGAACAAACTTTGTTTTTTTATTGGCCCACCTGTCAAAATCCAAGGGCATGTAGATACATCACTTAAAACCATTACTTTGAAAACAGTTGTCTCAACACCCTTGTGATTAGTTGTTTGGAGTTTAGTGTTTAGCTCTCTTAACCGTAGTTACGTGTTTGCTTACCTGACTGTGCTTGTGTTGATTTACCTCCTGTGCGCCCGTATATTCATCCAGCGCTTTCGTGTGCAGTGGTCTTTGTGCTTGTCTTAGGTAAAGTGCAGAACATATTGGTTCAGAAATTTGATCATTCCGTTAGTACTGTTTTATCCCCTAGAATCCTATCGTATCCAGTGCCTACTGAAAACACCTGGTTAGCACCAACTATGAGATTGGTGATTGACATTTCCGCCGTCTCTCGGGTTGTTATTAATAAATCTCGACACATTCCAGGGATTAAGTATTTTGTTTTTCAGCAGATGATTTTACACGCACACGAGATTGTTCGCACGTCCAATCTCCTTGCGTAATACTTCCTTTGGGTTAAATTTGGTTGGTTCAGTTTAATAGGAATCATTTCCTTGCTGCTGATGAACCCGTGCTTTGCCTTTTGGTTTCGCAAACGCTGATCGTTATTGGTGGATACGATATATAGACCGGTTCATTTACTCAGCCAGATTTCGATGTTTAGCTACGATAGATTCTTTGATTTCTTTATTGAATTCGATTTAGTTGTGGGTATATAATGGCTACTTGACCACTACAATGATGATCTTGCACTCAAGGAACATTTAAGTTGAATGTCAGAAATTTATGTGATTTCCGCTGTTGCAATTGGGATCTCAACTGCATCTCTCCTTCCCCTTCTTTGAATGTATGCTCGCACACATCGTACTCGTTGGTTTGATCACATCCGAACTGATATCCCGTCTGAAGTCCGCGTCAGTTCAGCTTGAGCTGTCTCATACGTCACATCTGTGTGTGATAAAGTTAGCACTGGTGCGTATCCTGTTCAATGGTGTTGATGATGATGGTGGTGGCGGTAGTGGGGCTGATGATGATGGTGGGATGCCCAGTGCTGTATTGCACTGTTATTTTTTCATTCCCGTCAGCGTCATTTTATGGTCAGTTCCATTCAGAGTGATTCCTGTAGTTGAGTTCAATTCAAACAACCATTAACCATGCACTTTTGTGCGCCGGTTTTAGTTGCTATCTTTTGACTGCCCATTTGGATGAACAGTAGGAGAAGGACAGGAAGGTTGAAAGTAGAATCGAAGAGAAAATTGAGAATTTCAATGGACTAATATTGCCAAGAAATTGAGAAGATACACGAACGGCATTGTTTACGACTCCCAGCCATATCACTCAGTGTCTCTAACTATCGGTTACGATTGTCCTGAGGTATCCAGGCAGCGAGCCTAACTGGACCTATATGACACAGACTCCTAGTCAGGGTTTTCATACCCTCAGTGATTCCTATACAAAAGACCGACAGATGGGACGCGTACAACCGGTATTGGGCTGTGTTACTAAGTTCTCTTTCTGTCTCACTCTAGTTCTTTGTGTCGTCAAGTGTTTCCGGAATCGGTTGAGAGTTGTTTTGTTT